TCTTTTTTTTTTTTTTCCTTCCCCTCCTCCATGGGTTTCTGTTAAGTTTCTCAGGATCCATATAAGAGTGAAACCATATGGTATCTGTCTTTCTCTGTATGGCTTATTTCACTTAGCATCACACTCTCCAGTTCCATCCACGTTGCTACAAAGGGCCATATTTCGTTCTTTCTCATTGCCATGTAGTACTCCATTGTGTATATAAACCACAATTTCTTTATCCATTCATCAGTTGACGGACATTTAGGCTCTTTCCATAATTTGGCTATTGTTGAGAGTGCTGCTATAAACATTGGGGTACAAGTGCCCTATGCATCAGTACTCCTGTATCACTTGGGTAAATTCCTAGCAGTGCTATTGCTGGGTCATAGGGTAGGTCTATTTTTAATTTTCTGAGGAACCTCCACACTGCTTTCCAGAGTGGCTGCACCAATTTGCATTCCCACCAACAGTGCAAGAGGGTCTCGTTCTCCACATCCTCTCCAGCATCTCAGACCTATATCTTTAAATCTCTTGAAAATAAGAAATGTGATTGTGGTGCCATAGAAAGAGCACTGGATTTTGAGTCTGAAGGTCAGCATTTTAACTTATTTTCCTGATCACTGGTTTGAAATATTTCAAAAATTCTTTAAACTCTTTCACTTCAATTTGTGAACCTGAAAAGTGGAATCAATTTACCTAACCAAGGGTCAAATAAGGCAACAACTAACTGTGATAACAATTGACATTACTTTCTGTTACTATTGATACTATAAATAATCGTATTGAATTACCTGTGTTCACAGATCCAGTGTCAACATAAACATTGGCACAGAATGATGCTAATGAAAGTCCAAACAAAGGACCAATGATAGCTCCTGTTTCTACAAACCCTAAAAATAAATGAAAATATAAAGTTATAATATAGTTATATACCCCCATAAAGAGTCCTAATTCCATAAGTCTAGAGCCTGACTTGTTTTTGCCTCAGATATGTTTGCCTTAAACTTTCAGTTTGTAAGAAAATGAAGCTTAGTGTACATATAAGTAACAAGTTTGTTCTGTAAATGTGGAAAAAAAGAGCCTCAAAATGTAAAACTGCATTCTCTAGGCCTCTAAATTCTCTTTCATGATGAATTGCAGGTAAAATCTGCTGTGGCAGCATAGGCTGGGATCGTGCTGTTGACAAAGCCACAATACAGAGCAAGATTCTTTTACTGCTTTCTATAGGCACATTTTTGGAGGAATTCTAAAGTACCACCCTGTAAATTTCTTGTGGCATATTCCTCAGGAAAGCTTTACTCTCACGTCTCCAACTTGAAGCCTCCTCTGGCTGTGTCCTCACTGTCACTGATCCTTCTGTTCACTTTCATCATGATCTCCTTTCTTACTCTCCACATTATCTTCCATACTCATCAGTCCCCTCTTACTTATGACTTACGACTTACTTACTTACGACTGCTTACTCATCTGGAATTTCATCATCAGTTAGCTCTTAGCATATCTACAATTCAGAATCAAGGCTGAGCTCTCGCAGCTCCTGAAAACCAAGACATGACCTTCTTCAACTTTGTTCCTCTTTACTTCAAAATATGTCTCCACCAGTGTCTCTGCCTTCTCCACCGTTCCATAGGGTAGCCCACCCAGTATACACACCACATTTCTTGACATCATCCCCTTCTATCTTCTCAGAGATCTTGCTCAATTAAACATGTCTTTATTTGTGTTTGTTCAATCTCTCCTACCCTCTGGTTATACTATCTCACATCTACCCTGCTTTCTTTCCTTTCACTACACTCTACACTTATGGCCTCACCACTCACTGAATCTACCCAAATCCTTCCACATTCTTCTCAAAGCACTTGCAGGCAAGACCAGTGTTATTTCTGTCACTAATTCAGTGTCCTTTTCTGGTCTCCATCCTCCTAGTCTTCATGTTATTTGACATTGCTTGCTAGCTCCTCTTTTGGCATTTCCTCCTAATACTTTCATAAAGTTATGCCTTTATTGTTTTACTTTCTCCCCATGTGACCACTCCTTTGCTTTTTCTTCTTTTTTTTATTAAAAATTTTTAATGTTTATTTATATGAGAGAGAGAGAGAGAGGCAGAGTGTGAGCTGGAGAGGGTCAGAGAGAGAGGGAGACACAGAATCCAGAGGAGGCTCCAGGCTCTGAGCTGTCAGCAAAGAGCCTGATGCGGAGCTTGAACTCATGGACCCTGAGATCATTACCTAAGCTGAAGTCGGACACTAGCCAACTGAGCCACCCAAGTGCCCCTGCTTTTTCTTCTTTATATTCTACTCACTGAAAGTTTTCTCTAGTATTTTAATGTAGGATTTCTCACTATATATATGGCTTCCTTTGGAAAACTCATTTCTCCCTCTTAATTTATTTTCTCTATATATGATTCTCAAAATTCATTTCTAGATTTTATGTTCTCTTCTAAACTTCAGAGCCATACATGGAAGTATTTTCCTCAATTGTATAGCTAACTGATTTATAGTTATTTAATTACATGCACACACACATTTATTTATTTATTTATTTTTTTCCAACGTTTATTTATTTTGGGGACAGAGAGAGACAGAGCATGAACGGGGGAGGGGCAGAGAGAGAGGGAGACACAGCATCGGAAACAGGCTCCAGGCTCCGAGCCATCAGCCCAGAACCCGACGCGGGGCTCGAACTCACGGACCGCGAGATCGTGACCTGGCTGAAGTCGGACGCTTAACCGACTGCGCCACCCAGGCGCCCCTATTTATTTAATTTTTAAGTCTATTAAAAAAATTAACTACACAGAGATATTTATCAAATTCGATTGATTTATAATTATGTAGCTATTTATATACTAAACCTTATGTGGACTGTCTTATTGACCTTAGAACATATAGATATTATCACAGTTATTTCTATATAATATACATCCTAGTATTTATTGAATAAAGAAATACATATAAAAAGGTATTCATTAATTTATTACAGGCAAGCATTTGTATTCTTTCAAGATAAGTATGTGAAGGGATTTGAAAGTACCAAAAAGAAAAACATTGAAAAAAGTTATTGCAAAATCAGTGCATCATCAAAAAGTGCCAAAGGTTCGTTGGGGTAAAGGATCTGTAAATATTTTGATCTTTTCCAATTATGTGTAACTCTGTTCCTGTCTTCTTTGACCTTCTTTGACATTGCCAGTTCTTAAAAGATATGTCTACAGTAATGGCAAAATTGTTCCTGTACTAAAAGTTATGCTTTTATGCTAACAGATGGAATAACTAAAAAATATAAATAAGTTATTCATAATAAATGAAGAATATTTAGGAGATTGGAAGACAACATAAGAGGGTAGATCTTAAATTGGTTATTGTCGGAGATGACACTGATCAATTTTAGAAAAGAAAATTTTCAGAAACACAACCAAGAATATGAACCAGAGATTTGTGAAGAATCTGAAAAATCTGACTAGCATGGAGAGACTGTGATGAAGAGAAACTATACAAAAAACTAAATAAACTAAATAGAGTACAGAGCTGTAATAAGTGGAGAGATCAGAGATAGTAAATAAAAAGCCAGTATGTTATATAAACTGGTAGAGAAGACATAATCAAAACAATGTTTGAGAAAATTGTACTGCAAAAACATTGATAATAAATTGATATTAAAAATCCTAGCAATAAAATGACCAATGGAGATGTTATAATAATCTACAGATGGAGTAATGAAGACCTGAGCAAAAAATAGAGGTAATGAAAATTGTAAGAAAGGTTTTGAATAATAAGGGACATTTTAAAGAAAATATTGGTAAATCACTTAATATATTTGATGTAGAATGGTGCCAAAGAAATGGACGAATCAAAGAGAACTCCTGGGGCACTAGATTAGTAGTATTTTCAATAGAAAGAAGCAGAATTAGCAAAGTGGCTTATTTGGAGTTAGCATGTAATTGCTCCATTCAGCAAACTTTCATTGATGGCCAGGTGTGCCGAGGTACTTTGCTCATCATTCTGGAAATCACTGACTCCAAATAACTGATATCCACCCTTAAGAAACTTACTTTCCTGAAAGGAGGCTAAGGCAGATTTTCAAACTCACCAATATATAAAGGAGAGTTTTCAGATTTGGCAAAATCTTCTATGTAGGAAATACCCAAAGGCATGATGGGAGTTTCACCAATTCCACGTATAATATTGCCTACTAGTACATACATCCACATTAATGATTTAACTTCTTTCACACACTCTGTATTAAAAGAAAAAAGATACATTGTATTCATGGTTTGGTAGTAAAGTATTAGTAATACTTAATTCTAAATTTTTGTTAAACATTTCACAGTTCTTATGTGACATGGCATCTTCTCAATTACTTGTATTACTATGTCAGCAGTGAATCATTGGGCCATTCCAGTTGCATTTTCTGACAGTGTACTTAGGTATGGCAAATATAAATGGTATGTTGGAGCCAGTTACTACTAGGTTGGGAGAGATGAGTAGTATACACATCTCTCTTCAGTTTAGTATTTAGTGACAACATATTGGCAGTTTGATGGCAGTATTTGACGGAAATTGACAAACACTAAAAACCAGAACTATTTTTCCCTGCAAAGAAACAGTTTGCCACTAGCTACTAGACCCAGTTAGCTACTATGAGAGCTGTCCAATTTCTACACTAACTTTGGGAAGAGAAAATAAACCTATAAATATCTCTCCCTAGAACTGATACTATATGATTTAAATAATAATCTCACTGAAGTTTTAATTCTCTACAGCTCTAACCACTTCACAGAAACTAAAAATATTTAACTGGTAGTAATCACATTTTCTCTATAGAACCTACTGTTTACTGTAACCTCCAAATAATCTTTTAACAAAGAAATCCACCCCAATCCTTGGAGCAGCACTGCTTAGTAGAATAATAAAGATTAGGCCGAAGGTTATTGAAAGGGATGAAGATAAGCACATGTCTGAAAACAGTCAGTTCTTTTCTAAGCCAAAATAGCTACCAAGCCAGGAGGACACTCTGTAGGGTCATGTTCAGGAAAGTGAATGACAACTTATTTTCATCTTCTATAATCTGGCTGGGTACCCAAAGATGTGAGGGTCCTGAGCACAGCTGGGCCTGGAAATATCTATCTATATATCTATCTATATGTCTATCTCTCAGTCATTCCTAGTCCAGAAAATCATAATGTCAATTTCTGGATATTCATAATTTTTTTTCTGTGGTGAGAATAGCAAGTTGTATCTAGAGGTCATAGTCAAACTCTAGGCCTTCCACAGGGCAAAATATAAAATATCTGGTGATCAAAGAATTTTTATTTATCCACTACAGTGCGTATTTAAAGAAAAAAATAGAAAATAGGACCTAGTCAGTCTTTGGCAAAAGAAGAGTATATAGGCCACTCTTGATGTCACTGTTTTGGTTTTGTTTGTTTGTTTGTCTTTTAGCATATGAAGGAGCAGAAGCTGGCATGTTGGTGCCTGGGATTGCAGGAAGCCAGAAGAAGCACCACTATTGTGTCAGACTGTAAAGTAGTATCTCTGGTAGGGAGGAAGAAGTAGGGCAGAAAGACAAGTTCCTAGTTCAGCAGAAAGAGAATAGAGTAAATCAGAGTTAGAGCATACTTGCTTCCTTTCTCTCCTATAGAAGATCAGTGATATAACACAAATCTTTTTGTTTCTATCTCTATTATTCATTTACAAATCATCAGCATAAATCCATCTTTCTAACGTGTTTTCCTCTGTGGAATTAACTCTAAGTGGTCCTCGAATGGATGTCTTCGGCTTATTTTTAAATAACCGTTTCAAAGAATAGATAAGGCATTGTTATTAAATATATTCAAATATAAGAGGAATAACATTTTATAATGTTATTGGATGGATATAAGCCAATGGATATAAGCCATTCCTAATCCCCTCCACGATCTCCTCCAAAATCCCTGAAAAAAATAAAATATGTTTTGTTCATTTACTTGCTTACTTAACCAAACTTAATAACATTCAAAGCCGCCCAGCAGAAAGTGTTCAGTTACAAATTCACTGAACAGAAAGCAATACAATGAAGTGGACAACCTGATGGATCTTCTGTTGGTCTGATAATCTGGGTTCCATTTTCCATACACAAGAAACTGTTTGAGGACAAATTGCCTGAAACTGAAACTGTAGATTCATATTCATATCTGTATGAACACAGGGAAAACATGTTGATGTTAAGGAGCCAACAATGACAATGTGAGCATTGTGCAGATTATTAACTCCTGCTTCACTTAAGACACAACATCCAAATCCAGAAAAGAAAGTATCTTTTTGTCTTTGCCACCTAATCATCATAAATTAATATTATTGAAAAGAACTTGCCACTCACTCTCAATGTACAATCCCTTGATAACTAGCTTTCAATTATCTGTATGTGGATGATCTACCTTCTAAATCATCTGACATCGACCTTTGGTGGTTTTTAGGTGATCATTTCCTGGAACTAATTACTGTGTGATAAGAAACAAGAACCAAGAAAAATAATAGACTCAACAAAGCATAATTAAGAAGATAAAGGCTTTGGGGAGAGAAAAAAAAGCACAATAAAGCAGTTCTCTAACTTTGGATTCTCTAAGGTTTCCTAATAAGAAATATACTCTCACTTTCTGAGAATCCAAACAATAATTCTTTCACCTGTTCATTAACCCTCTAAAAGAAACAAAGCATTTACCCATCATGAGAGACCTTAGAAGAATCTTAAACACTGTGACAGCACAATTTAATGACTTTTTCTCTTCTCATGAAAACAAAAGTGTTAATAAACTGTGACCATTTATCTTAGGCATATTACCAGAAGATCCACATGCCCTTTCTCAGAAAGTAAATTATATGCTGCAGCAATGGAGGAAATATGTCCAGCCAAGTCTCTCTTTGTTAGAAATTACACTGGATTGGTTTCTATATTTCTATTAGATAAGAGAAAGCCAAAAGAAAACTTGCCTTTCTGAGTTTCAAATGAGCTCAAGAGTGTTATACTTGGATGTCACCAAGAGTCCTAATTAATATGTTACAGAACATAATAAAATGGTTAAAATACCTTCCCTTAGAAACACTGCCCAGTCATACCCATAGAGTTTGGCTGTGAACTGTGGACTAAGGCTTCTGTTTCCACACCCATGGTCCCATGAGACATGGAAGCTTCAGACAAAATAAATAATAATACCTTTGGCAGAGTATAGAAAGAAATGACAAAATTGCTGAATATTACTCAACATTGTCTTGAACAGGATAGGATATGATAGGAAATAAAAGAACAGTAGATATTCTTTGTCTTGATGCCTCTGATCCCTTCAGAAATATCTGAGAGCTAAAATATCTTTTTCATTTAGATTATTGACTTAAAACCCAATAACACATCACATGTCCATTCATTCCCAAAACATCAGCAAAATGGCAGTAACTGGATTTTAAAATAGAAAAGGAAAAGACATAATGCCATGAGGATAAAGAAAAGGGAAGATCTGACGATCTGACAAGAAGACAGAGTTTAGTAGGATTTTGAAAATGGAAAAGTAGATAAATGAATGATCACTGAATTAGTAGATATGAGAAACATAAAACTGAGTAACTGCCTGTACGAGAGCAACTGAACACATGCCACACATCCCTGGAAAGCTTCAGTCAAGAAAGAAGATACTTCTAAAGGTGAGAGGGTGCATGGTCCAAAAAGGGGATTGCTTTCAAGTATGTATAAGGAGCAGTTAAGCCTTTTTAGACATCCTCTGTCATTTCAACTGAATATGGCTTTTGACTCTAGAGTCTGAATAAACACACTGAGGATAGGGAAGATATACTAAAAACTGGGGATATTAGGTTTAAAAAATCCATATACTGAAAAGTGAGATTTCCACTCCCATGTGCTGGTAACCAAGCTTCTACCTCCTGGAAAACAGATTGGAGAATCCCTGCCTAAGATAGTTTATGGGCAGTTATGAGTCACTTAATACACAGCCAGGCCATGTACAATCACCCTACAAAGAAATTTTCCATTAATTAAGTCTTACATACACAGAAGTTCCAGGTAGCTTGTGTTATTCCTCTCTCTTAAATATGTATATATAACCAAGAACCACCAGATATATGAGGAAAGCCTATAATAGTAAAGACAGAGACAAATAAAAATTATACACTCAGAGAAGGCAGAGACAAAGAAGATAGATGAACAAATTTAGTTGGAAAAAGACATCATATTCTTGAAAGAAGAACAAAATATTCCTTCAAAAGATACAAAGAACAAAAGAGTCCTTGGGAATTAAAAATGGGATAGCAAAAGTTAGAAATTAATTCAGTGCTTTAGAAGATAAAGTTACAGAAATCTCCCAAAAAGTAACAAAAAGACAAGAAGATAGAAAATTGGAGAAAATGATGAGAAATATATAACAGGATATGCAGAATTCAAGCAGTAGAAGTTCTAGAAAGAGAAAATGGGGAGGGGGCATATTATCAAAGAAACAATACAAATTCTCCAAATGCCCAGATTGAATACACCTAGCATGATGGAGGAAAAGGATTTATACTAAGACAATTATCATGAATCCAGACTCTGTAGCTTAAAAGAAAATCCCAATAGCTCCCAGAGAAAAGGAACTGGTCATGGGGATTAGAGTGGCACAAGATTCTCAACAGTACTACTGTAAACTAGAAAACATTGGAACAATGTCTTCAAAATCCGTAGGAAAATATTTCCAACCTAGAATTTTGTATCAGCCAGAATATTAATCAGGTGTGAGAGTAGAATTCCAAATGTTCAAGGTCTTAAAATTTTTATGTCTCTTACACTTTTTCTCAGAAACCTATTAGATTATGTTTTCCAAAAAAAGGAGTGAGTAAAAAAGTAGAAGATATGATATCCAGGATCTAAGTTAACTGAATACAGGAAAGAGGCAAAGCAAATTCCCAAGGATAATGGTGAGGAAAAATTTCCAGGAAGGAGCCATGCACCAAGCCTAAGGAGATTCCAGTTCAGACTGAAAATGGAGAATTGGTGACATAGAGATATCTCTAAGGCAGAAATGAAAACTTGTGATATGTATGAGTATTTTGAGATGTTGCCCTGCCAGTGGAGAGTTTGCTGATGATTAGTGAGAGATAAAAAGAAAATGAATCAAATAAAAAAGGAGCAATTATGAAGTCCAATAAAAATGAAAAATATTAAAAGAAAATAATAGCATGGTTCAGTGGTGAAAGATACTTACATAATTGTCCACATGGAAATAGTGAATATAATTTTATAGTAAGATATCAACATATATGACATAACATGAAAGTATTAAAAACTAAAAGGTTAAATATTTACTTAGAACTATGGAGGCAAATTGAAGAAGAAAGAACTAAAAGAATTGCAAGTAACTTCTCTTCAAAACCAGTAATATGGACAATGGTGAAGGGGCAGGGGACAACTCTTTGTGCAATATGATAATTTTGCCTGGTCCTAAAAATCATTTCATCAGACTTCACTCCATAAAATCCCAAATCTCTATTTCATATATGGACAAAATATGACTATATAAATGAAGTGAGGCAGCCAAGAGCACAGTGGACCAGTGGAATGGAATCTGCATCTTCCAGTTCCCATTGCAGTGTTCTGTGCTTTTAGGAAACTTTACTCCTAGAAAGGAAATTTCAAGTTTCATTCAATACAGTCCAAAGTTGAATCTATGAAATAATCAGAAACTTGAGTACTTACCGCTCCATGAGGAAATGAGGTAGAGATTGTAAGAAACACCCTAGACCCATAACCACACATCCAACACCAATCAGTATAGGTCTATGTAATTTGGTTCCAAAATAACTCACAAAGATAATCAACAAAAGATTTCCTAGGAAAAAAATGATATTGAAATGAATATTTCAATTAAGCATGAACAATATCTTATCTTCATTCAATTATTTACTATCTAGCATTTCTTTTAGAAAACCTATTCCAAATACTAGAACTGGTACTAGGGATGCATGAAACAATAAATGAATAAGACACAATTCTTGCCTTGAAGGACTGTTTTACAATGTCGACAAATACACAAACAGGTATCTGTGGAACCCCAACGGTTAAAGAGAACAGCAGAAGAGAAGTGAGTAGAAGGGATTGAAGGATAGTTCTGAGAGATGTTAAAGACTCTGTGTGTTATTATCTAGTCTTAGATGTGTCACCTCTGGTCTTTCCCTCCATTCCTGCTCCAGAGAATATTATAATGTTTTCCTATGTCGGAAAAGAGAAGCAAAAGTCAAATTCAGATATATATATGTTTTATAACTCATTGTTTAGATATAACTTTGTATTGGTCAATATAATCAAGCCAGAGATCTGTTTGTTTTTCTCTCCTTAGAAGTAAAAAAGAGTAGATACCCACTTCTCCACTGAGTTTTAGAAATAACACTTGCGTTGAGGAGTAAATAATTCAATGAAAAATTTATCCACATGTCTTAGAATGAAGTTTAAGGATAAAGAAACTAATTGGGGAGGCCTCATTCTGATGAACAGGTCCTTGATAACTATGGTGTAAAGGGTCAAAAGAACCAAACACATGAGGAAGTTCTCATATCATACATCTTAAATTCAGTAATCAATATTTTCCCTGATCTTATTATGCATAAGGAAAACCTCTATGATGAGCTCAAGAATTATAAAAGTTTTAAAAACTTTCCCTCAATTTGTTAATAGTTTTCTATGTAGTAATGTATATTTTGAAAACTTTTCTTTCCATATCTGTTTCTCTCTAGTCTGCCTTGTAAGTAGAAGAAATGTCAGTGCCTACATTATTTTATATGGACAGTGCCTCACCAAGTGCAACCACCTTGTCCTACCTAAGTCTCTAAAATTCCCATCATCAAAGCCATCCATGTTGACAGTATCATCTCTAGAAAGCCACAGTTTGAAATCCATATCCATTTTTGAAAGGAGAAGAAAGGAAGAGACTTCACTCCACATAAGGGTAAGCTGATATTTCAAATTGCATTTCTCTGTCAATAAAATAATTACCATGAAAGGGAATAGGAAAGGACAGATAAGATTTTGTCAAGGGTATGGAGAACGCTATCTATAAACATTACTGAGGAAAGGTAAGCAAAGTAATACATTTATTGGCATCTGTAAATTACCTCTCCTTTTCTCTTCAGCGATTATTTCAGATCTGCATCAATTGCTCTCAAGCCACCTATCACCACTCACTTTCCATAGTTAATACTTTCCACTTTGTCAAGAAATTTGGGGCAGTCCAGTTCCCAGGTTATGGCCTTACCACTTTCCTTCTGTTTCAGAGGTTGTGGTGCCCATCCTACCATCCACAGACTAACGCACAACCTGGGCACTTCCATTCCCTCCAACAACTTACTCCACTAATAATAATCTCTCTTGTATATGTTAAGTGTCTCCCTCTCTGATGCATTTTAATTACAGATGTTCTCTAGTTTCTCTCCAAACTGATGCAGATTCCACTTCTTTCCCTCTTGTTCTTTCCCAAAGTCACTTCTCTCTCTCTCTCTCTCTCTCTCTCTCTCTCTCTCTCTCTGCCTCCTAGCTTGTATATCCACGATTCAGCTAAACATGCCCTGGCAAAGATCATCAATTATCTCATAAAACCCAGGGAATATTTTTCTATCCTTATCTAATGGGATATTTTTTAATGCTTTTGAGACCGTTGAGAAATTTTTATTTTGGGAACTTGTACTCCCTTGGTATCTATACCTTCTCTCCTGTTTCCCCTCTTAATTCTCTATTTCTTCTCTTAACACTTTCGTGGGTTACTTTCTTCCACCTGTTCATGAAATATTGGTGTACCTCAAGGATGCACTCTGCCTATGGTATTTGTCACCGTATACCCTCTTCTTAAATAGCCTCATCTGTTCTCTAGTTTTAACAACCACCTGTTTACTCACTAATCAGTTCCTCCAGCTCAGACAGTTCCTCCAATGCTTCCAACTCCTATAACTGCAACATGGACATCACTACTCAAAATCTCACTGCTACTACCACCATTTTCCTAAACAGAACTCATCATCATTCCCCTAGCCACTACCACAATCTTGTCCCCCTTCCCCATTATCCACTCTACTACCCAAGCTGTAAATCTGGGGATGTCTACTTTTCTCATCCACCACATCCAATCTGTTACTAAGTTCTCAGGAATTTAACTCCTAAATATTTCTTAGGTCACTCTCTCTTTCTATTCCTACCAGCATGATCTGTGACTCAGATCCAGATAGCTCTCTCTTGTGCTTTTGCCATGCTAGATTCCTCTCTGGCTGGCTGGCCACCTTCAAATCTGTCTCCAACACAGCCACAAGCATGGCCCTGCTAGAAAGCAAATTTGACCTTTGTTTTAATATTTTTTAATATTTTATTTATCTTAGAGCTCGAGTAGGAGTGGAGGAGGGACAGGGGGTGGAGAGGACAGAAGATCTGAAGCAAGTTCTGTGCTGATAGCAGCAAGTCCAATGTGGGGCTCAAACTCACAAACTGCAAGATCATGACTTGAGCCCAAGTCAGAGGCTCAACTGGCTGAGCCATCCAGGCACCCCATCTGACCTTTGTTTTAAATAGGTCTGCCTAACCTGCCATATATAAACAAATACCCATGGAGTCCATGGATAGAAATCAGGGGTTCTATGATCTTGAGTGAGAAAAAAAATGCATCTTTATTTTCACTAACTTATAATTAAAGTTATGTTAGCATTTTCTTTGATACTGAGAGTAGACGCAAACTATGGTAGCCTTAACAGTACCTATGATTTTGTCAAAGATTGTCACCAATAAAAGTTATAGATATTTGCATATAACATTACATTGTTGTAGATACCTCAAAATATTGACACTACTCATTACTTCAAAATTAGGGTAGATATTATATTTAGTGTGTTGGCAAGCACAAATATTATTATATGGCAGGTTGTTTTAATATTTTGGTAACTTTATTCAAATAAAACTGGGTTTCTTTTTACCTTTTTTTCCCTTTTTACTGTTATAGTTTTTATTTCATGCAAGTGCCGTAATAAGCACAGAAGACCAACCATATTTCATTTCTCACCCCTGCCCATTTCTCCAGACTCATATCTTAATAATTCCCACATAAGCTTTGTGAGTCAACAATATTGGACTGAATGTTACTCCCCACACAAATTACTACTCTGACTCACCCTTATGCTTCTTTTTCTATTGGAATTCCCTTCACGCTCATCTAACCCTGTTTCTTCACCTAGACAACTTTTTACTCATCTGTCAAGATCTTCCCTCAGTAAGGCTATGTCCCTGCTGTGTGTTTCTATAGGACCTTGCATCTATCTATGTCACCAAATGTACTGCATTCAATTAAAATTATTATTGTGTCTCTATGCCCTCCATTTGACTGTGAGCACAGTCTAGGCAGGGCTATATAAAGAGTTGTATCTAACTCCATCACCAGGATCCAGCACACAGGTGGTGCCGAGTTTAGTTTCAGGGAGTTAAGTGCTAGAATATACAATCAAGCATCACCTGTTTCAGTTTTGCCTCCCCTCAATCCTGATTTTTCTTCCAGATATTAAGTATATTGAAAGCAAAATTCACCTTGGAGGAAATAGAAGTCACTCTAAAGCTGTAAAAGAATGGCATTCGTATTTCTATGTAGCTTTGTTTACAAGAGAAATCTTTCTCTTCCTCAGTCCTCCCCTATGTTCACATCTTCCCAGTCCTCCACAAAATTCAGAGAGTAAGAACAGACTTTATTCCTTCCTAGAGTCTGTTTCTGAAATAAATTCAGGGAGATGCGAAAAACAGTTTCTTCTTCCTTCTGCACTTAGAAGAATTGTTAACCTCCCAGAAACAGCAGGAAAATAAAAATATTCATGTTTCCTTTGGACAACAGATTCTTTTGTTTTCCATGACATATGTCTTCTAAATAGGAAGATAGAGTTTTTAAGAATTCTCAAATGATAGATTAAATTTAAAAAATTTAAATACTCTGCTACTTATCCTAGCTAACCAAAAAACTATTAGAATAAAAAGTCCAGTGGTGGGATATGTGGCAATACTTAGGTGTTATTTGGGAGATAATATTTAAATGAATTGTTTCTAAGCATAATCCAAAGTTAGCAAGGCTATTCATCCATTTTGGAAAACATATTATTCAGTCAAATTAGATGGCCTAAAATTGCAAATGAGGAGAATAAAATTCAGACTAGCTTTATAGATAAAATATAAAAAGGAGTAATACAAAAATAATTCATACCAATCTCAAAGCTCCCGTTAATAAATCCAACTAGAGATGTGGGAATGTTGAATTGTCTCTCTATTTGTGTGAGCATGGAATTCATATAAGATCCAGATAGTGTTTTGGATACAAATGCACATGTTATTGCCAACAGAAACATCTAGGGAGAAAAGAATATAAGAAAACATAGAAAAAAATTATTTTTAAATTGTATATTTGCCATTTGTTGACAAAATTTCTTCTAACACAAGACTGATCATCTCCAACATAAGTAACCCTTAAATTTGCAAGAAACTTTTAATGCAGTCTTTTCATCTGGTCTTTCATGCCATGTTGTCTCTGAAAACTCAAAGTAGGACTGATTAGTAATATTGAATTTTGTGGGTAATTGTAGCTTCATTATTTTATAGGTACCTCTTTTACATATGCAGAAACAGTCATTATAAATAAGAGATAGCTTTTAAATAGATCTTCAACACTACACTGCCATCTGTAGTGCAAGAAATACATATATGATAAAAAAGGAACACAGCATTACACAAAGACATTATTTCTGTAGCAAATTTGTTCAAGGTGTCTCCAAAGTAATATGCAAATTATGCAACATTAGATTGCTGCTCACTACCAGTTTATTTATTTAAAACAATATTATATATATTATAATAAAATATAAAGTAATTATAAACCATTATAAAAATGTTTCTAAATGGAACAGGCATTTGCTATAAGAAACAAGTATGAATACAATAAATTTCTATATATTGAATCACATTTCCTACTTACTGATACAGTTTTAGAGGACAGTCAGGTTGATGTGATCCATAACAAAAACCAAGGACAACTTAACAAACAGAACCATTGTGATCACCAAAAGCTAGTATGGTTTTACTGAAAATGTGGAAAAGTCGCAATTTTGACAGTTTTATTAAATTAGGAAGAAGCAGACTTAGATTTTAGTAGAAGATTTGGCAAAGGAGTATTGTATACTAAGTGATAGCGTAGTTAAGTAAATACACAATAGAGATAAATAGATTTAGGCCATCCTGAATGGTGGTTTTCCAACCCTAGGCCAAAGGACTTTTTCCTTGGTCTTACTTAAAGATGTTTCCTGATGAAACTTCCATCCTAGAGACCATTCAATCTACTCTCTAGCCAGCAGACTCAAATCTGTAAAATCCTCACCCCTTCATCTTCCAAATTCTCAATCTTAAACCAACCCCACAATTTATATTGCACCTTGTACATTCCCTTCACAGTTATTCACAATCTTTTCTATTTCTCAGTCTTCGAACTAGTCATGTGGTCTTCATGACCAGCAAATGATCTCAGCAACATCACCATCAAACTTTCCCCCATCTCTGCCTCTCTAATTCCCTTCCTACCTTAGAAGGATAGGTGTCCCTTCTCCAGTACAATAAAATCCCTCTACCCATGCTTTTGAATCCATTCTTCCCATTTGAGATCTTGATTCATCAACTACTACTCTCTCCTCTATTTTCAACCTCACACTCTTTACCACCTCTCTACTAATTTATAAATGTATTTAAAATACTTCTGTCTTCATATATGTGTGTGTGTGTGTGTGTGTGTGTGTGTGTGTGTGTGATATACGTGTATATATATATGGTATTTTTCCCTACCCCCTGATGGTTGCAATTCCAGCTACCAACAGGATGTTTGGAAGAACAGTCTAAGTTTATTGCCTAGACTGTTTAACTTTCCATTCACCCTTTACTTTCCTACTGTTTAGCCTCTCCTGAAGCTACTCCATTAAAGGTCAAAAACAACTTCCTGAGTTCCAAATTCAATAGATACATCTCAGTTCTCAGCTTTTCTGATGTCTCTGGGTCATTTGACTCCATTAATCTCTCTTTTCTTCCTGAGGTTCCCACCCTCCACCCCTCCCCCCCCCACACACACCTATATGTCCACTTACCTGCTAGCATCTTTCTATTCAGTCTTCTCTTTGGCCAGCTCGTTCAGGATTTGTCTTGCACCCTCTACTCTGTGCTATCTATGCTCTCCTTAGGAAATCTTATATATTCCCATAGCTTTCCCTATCACCCAAATGCTGAAATCCCTCAAATGTACAAACAGTTTAGATGAGACAATTGTCAGCATTCCTTAGTTGCCTGTAGTCTTGTCCACACCTAAACTCCCTCCACCTGCCACCATAACTGGCATGTGATTTCACTTCTTAAAATGTTTTAATGACTTCTCAAAAACAAACATTTATACTTTTTTAGATGGCAAACCATGTTTCATCTATATGTCAATAACATTCCTGCTGTTTATCCCTATACATAATGTTCTACTTAAAGTTTCTTTAATTCACCATGCCATTTTACATCTCAGTGTATTTTACAGGATGGTATTCCACTTGTAATACTTTTCTTCCTCTTGTGTATATGATAAATATATATTCAATTTTTAAAAGTCAACTCTATCATCATTTCTATCGTGGAGACTTGTTGTTCTGCTCCCCAAGTAGCCTTGACCACTCACTCTACCTTCCCATCCTACTGTGTACTGCCTCTATTATAGCCCTTATTGCCGTGCACTTTATGTATGTACTTGGATGCCTCCTTCACTGTACTGTGAACAATTCAAATATGGGATACATATATTATTTATCTTTAGATCATTGGTGTCTAGGCACTTAATACAGGTTTGCTGAATTAATAACAGAGTAAGTATTCAAAAACATCTTGAAGAAGTGGTCAGAGCTGAAAGTAAGCTGAATATAAGATGAAATGTAATAGAATTAAATACAACTGAGATGAATTGGCTGTACCAATTCATTTGGAGAAATCTGAATAGAAATTTATGTGGAAAAAGTCCTGAGAAATTTAAATATGAAGCTCAATATGAGCTAAACCATTATATGGCTATATCTCTGTTTATTCTTTTATAGTAAATGCCATTTGTAGAAACTGTCTCCACACTATAAATCTTTGCAGAGCACATTATTGAGAATAAAAAAAATTCACATGGTTTTATATTTAATTTTAATTTTAAGTGTTTATTTCTGAAAGAGAGAGAGAGAGAGAGAGATCATGAGTGGGGGAGGGGCAGAGAGAGAGGGAGGCACAGAATCCCAAGCAGGCTCCAGGCTCTGAGCTGTTTGCACAGAGCCTGATGTGGGTCTCGAACCCACAAACCACGAGATCATGACCTGAGCTGAAGCCGGACGCTTAACCGACAGAGCCACGTAGGTGCCCCTTCAGGTTTTATATTTAAAAGCAAGGTCTACCAAATAACGTACAAATCATATTTGGGGGTATAATTTATTTTATTTAATATTTTAAGAACAGACACTAGAAGAATCATGGCCCCAGTGTTCTTTCCTAAAACACCTAGATGGGTTACCTAAACTGTTTGGTTCTAGTCACAAAGTAAAAGCAATCAGTGGCTATTCTGACTCATGTCTAGTACGAAATAACCTCTATACTTGTGAAGCTAGTTCTACTAGCTGTTAACAATAATGCCACAGAGTTTGAAGCAAACTTACTGAGGACAGTCCACTGATGCTTTTTTAAGAATTTTGCTTAAAATTTACTACCATAAGGGCGCAAGTTAAAAGTTTAGGAGCTACTGAGCTTTGAGAAATAATAAAAAATGAAGAGTATCCAGTTATCCTCAAGTTTAAATAAACCATGTGATTATCTACTGAAAAAAAAAAGAATTTTGCTTAACATGCATATTTTTAAGTTCAGAGAAGCCAAAAAAAAAAAAATCTGGCTATTAAGCAGTTGCTTCCCAATTTACCTGATAAATTTGTCCTTGCAACATTTTACCATAATGTGAACATCAATATCTAATCTTGTCAAACCCCTAAGTAAGCAAATATTACATTAAAACCTTTTCTTAAATAAATGACACTTGACTTTTATACACAAATGCTATTAATACTAATTTTTTACTTCCAAGTTTTTATTTAAATTCCAGTTAGTGAAAATATAGTGCTATTAATAATAATAGCTAATATTCATAGAATGTATATAATATTCTAGTCATTTTCCAAGTATGTAAAAAGGAAAAAATCCTATGAAATAGGAGTTTTGTTATTACCTTTTTCAAATCAGAAAGCTGAAGAAATCACAAAGAACAACTTGTCCAAGTCATATGGCAAGAAAGCAGTTGAACCTAGGCATGAACGCGGGGAGCCTGAGCCTAGATCCTTATTTTTAACCATTCAGTTTTAGGATAAGGGCATGAGAATTGAGGGATAATTTAAGGGGAATTTTTTTTTTTTGTAAGGGGAATTTTTTAAATAAATAATTAATACAGCATTTCAGGCAAATGTAGCTTGCTAGATCTAAATCATCATTCTCCACTTTTATGCACATGTATAGATTTTCCCTACACATGTATGAAGAGAAAACAAACTTTGATAAGGAGAATATTGGTGACATTAGTCTAAAAACCACTTGCAGTCACTAGCTTTAGAATCAAGACAAATATCCAGATCCCTTGGTTTAAAACAAATTAAAATTTTCTTTGAAGGCAAATGGCTTTGAAGCTATACAAAAAGAATTTGTTCTGAAATGGTCAAGAGTACCAGAAACAGCTAACAAAATGGGCATTATTCTTACAGACAATGGTTGATATGTTGCCAAAGCTTGAAGTAAATATTTGTTTTACTAGGTCATTGTGAATTAATCGTTACAAACAGACCAACAAAGCATTTCTGTACAATGAACCGTTTTCTAGGTGAGACCCCCACACTCCTCTGGACTAAAAACCCCAAAAGAGTGAACATTAAATTGGCCGTTTTATCCAGAAAATCAAATCCTATTGTAACATATTATCGCCTGAAAACTTTTAAGAACTTGTCTTCCATTTAAGTTCCTCAAAATCATTTCTGATTAAATTACCTGAATCAGTAGCCCTGTTTAACCCTCAGTTATAAAACCAACTTAATTAAAGCAAGAAATTATCAATATATTAGGTAATGTGACATTAACATTAAAGCACTTCATGTGAGCAACTTTACAAACTCTAAACTAAAAAAAAAAAAAGTACACATACATATATCCATACACACAAAAGTCCATACCTTCATCTTGGAAAGACATCTTATTCTATGGGTTTTAATTCTTTTCTCATTTTCTGCCATGTTGTTCTTCTGAGTGTTCCAAATATTTATGTTTCAAAGCTTGAAATTTCTTAGTTCATCCTTTTAAGAAGACAAAAATCTGTTAACTGGCAAAATCATAAGTCGTCATTCTTTTGAAGAAAATATAGAATCTGAGTAACAATCAGATTCTACTGTATTACAAAAATACCTTAGAAGCTTTTATTCAGATCTAGAAAATAATGATGTTAGAGAAGATTTAGTTGCTAATTTTCCACTGAGAAAGTTACATCAAATAACTTTAGTTAGTCTTTAGCTAGATTAAAGATATTATAATAATTTGCTGTGGTCCCCTTGCAAAATAATGACCACGTGGTTAAAACAAAGGTTTTCATTTCTTTAGCCAAAACAAATAGAACCAAAGTGAGCTTTTTGGACTTACATGAAAATGCTGCTTTTAAGAACACAAAGACTTTGATTTGTGTTTGTGCTAAAAATCTGCTTCAGCAAGCCTACCAAGGCTCAAAAATCTCTATTTGGCCAGGCTCCCTCTTCAAGTTCTTTGCGTTCCAAGACTTCCCTGGAGTCTCAGGAAGGGAAACACTTTCTGGGGCACTGCTGATTCAAGGAAACCTGGGGAGATATGGAATTTTAATCATGGAAATAGTCTAAGTAAAAATAACAAATAATTCTGTGATCTGGAAAAGAATCCTACAGTTGCAAGTTAGAATGTGAGGTGTATAAGAAGACCAAATATATAAGTGGAGAGTGATATGCCTACATATGTAATAAATACAGATATATGTGTACTTGTATATAATACATAGGCACGCATTTTTATATGTAAAACAAGAAGATGAGTTAAACTCTATTAAATTCTACTAACCCCTTCTCAAAGATTTTGTCTATTTGTGTCTTGAAACTAGGGCATTATTTTGCCCCCAAACTAAAGTGTTTCACTCTGACAATATTTATTTTCATAAATCCACTTCAGGTTGCCAGAATGATATTTTAGTAGTATCTTCAATGTTCATTTATTAAAATCCTCTGAACAAAATCCATTTAACAAGTGATCCTCAATGATTCCCATTTTCCAAAACTTAATTGTCTTACCTCTATACATTTGCTGAATCGGCAACAGTCTAAACAATTATGTATGAACTTAGTTTTCTTTACTCATTCTCTCACAGACAACAAATATGTCTGCTATGTACCAGACATAGTGCTAATCACAAGATTTCAGCAGTGTTTAAGACAGATAGGCTGTCTTATAGACAACAGAAACTAGTTATAACCTAGTTAATGAGTCTCTGTGGAAAGTACTTGGACCCAGATCCCAAGGAAATTCTATTTTTTTTTATTTTATTTTTTATTTATTTTTTTTCTATTATTTTTTTTTTTTTAATTTTTTTTTTCAACATTTATTTATTTTTGGGACAGAGAGACAGAGCATGAACGGGGGAGGGGCAGAGAGAGAGGGAGACACAGAATCGGAAACAGGCTCCAGGCTCTGAGCCATCAGCCCAGAGCCTGACGCGGGGCTCGAACTCACGGACCGCGAGATCGTGACCTGGCTGAAGTCGGACGCCCAACCGACTGCGCCACCCAGGCGCCCCAGGAAATTCTATTTTTATTGAAAAACATAAAACTTTTAAATAAAACACAGTGGAATAGAACTGAATAGCATCAGATCAAATACAAATTGTTTGGTATGTAAGAGGTGAGAAATTCATAGATCATACATGAAAATTATTAGAGACAATCTTGGCAAATCTGAATGGCATACACATGAACTCATGCTGAAATCCCCCACCTAAAATGCCAAATCACCTTAACTATAGAACAAGTACATGGCCCTAGTTTTGGAAAAACCAATAGATAGTGTTAATTTTTCGAAAGAATGGGAACTGCTATTCTTTGGTTCTCATTTGTATTATACCTGCTTTTTATTTTATACCTGTATTATAAACCTCTCAGCTGCTCTCGTTCCTTCCTTCTCATGATTTAGAATCTGGTCTTTCCTCTGTCTTTTTTCCTTCTGTTCTCCTTGCTAATATCTGAGCCCAATTATGGTCACCCAATGAAACAGTACAAGAGGGAGAAAACTTATTCCTCTTCCATGTCAAAGTTGGCTTTACTCTTTAGTGGCTAAAGTCATGACTGTTCTAAATGCCTATTTTCCTATGCAGCCACAGGACATAGAAGGTGGAGTTAGTGACACAGAAAGTCACTACAAAGGGGAATTCTGTAGTTCTTTCTATGCGTTGTGATACTATGTAACCATCTTGAGCAGGTTTTATCACCATGCCTCAAAGATTTGTTTGAAATGTGTTTACTATCTTGAGAGAAGTTCTATAAACAGTTGTCTTGACTGGGGTAAGAGGTAGTGTGTGAAGCTAAGCACTTGGAAGAAATTAAATGTGATTGAGTTAATAGTAAACTTTCCCTAAAAATTTTTTGGCTTTTCAGATATGTTTAAAACTTTTAATGAAGGAAAATAAATAAAGGAATGAATAAAATTTATTCTGTTTGTTTAACAAAATTCATGAAATCCAATGGTTAATGTCACCATCACTTTTGAGCACCGTGGCTCCGAATCAGGGAATGCACGTGTTGTTTCTTCATATCTCATGGCCCTGCAAGTGCCAGCCATGTGAACAGTCCCTTTTTGTTAGCACAGTGTTGTTTACATGGTGACTTCTGCTCCTGGGACTACAGTGTCACCAATAAATCCCCATCAATCATTACTGTTAATGAAAACAACTTGCTTGAGTTTTATTAAGTGGAGAAGCATTTTCTTTCACTAACTCCTTCTCAGCATTCAAATGAAAGCAGGTAATTCTTTAGTATGTGTTCTCATACAAATGTGGTTGAGTGTCTTCCATGCCTGGTGGTCATGACTCTGGGGGTTTTTGTTTTTGTATTGTTTTTTAGTTGTGGTAAAGGCACATTGTAGAATTAACTAAATGCACATTTTTGGTATTTGGATCTCTAGAACTTTTTCATCTTGCATGACTGAAATTGTATAACCATTGAATAGCAACACCCTGGGGGTTTTGGCACCCCTTGGTTGTCAGCCCTTAATGATATGTTTCAGTCACAAAAGAGTGCAATTTTTACAAAATGAATAAATGGTCCTGTTTGTGCTTTCCCCCCAATGTTAAGTATCTAGACACAGTTTTTTATTACTATAAATCACTGAAGAAACATGTATACATTTAATTTTACATTATTCTATACTATTAAGAAAATAAAGGCTTTCCTTTATCATGACAAAACTAGCAATACATACATGAAGAAGACTTAGGAGAACATCCTTTCCCCGGGAAAAAAAAAAAAAAAAAGAGAAGGCTGCACCAGCAAAAATCTTATGAAAGTTGTTTATTTCCAGAATCTTCAAATGGTTCCTACTAGCCCTGCAAGAAGAGAACAGCCTCTTGGTGGTGTCCAGCTGAAATAATTTCAATTTATTTGAAATTATTAGCATTAGCACAACAAGTAGTGCCAATCAGGCATGTGTGGAAGCAACAATAACTCTTTGTATGATGCCTAACAAATTATTTTTCTTCTATTAGTTCATTTCCATCAGAAATCAAAAAATAAGATAATGGGTTCTGCAAATCAGCATCATAAATATAGTTATATTTTCCTTCCTACATGCAGAGGAGGTACAAGAAATGCATGACTGCAGACAAAGTAGGGTAGAAACTTAACTGGGTCATAGACTCATACATGGATTTCACCAGGCAAAGTGAAAAATAGAACATACAAAAACACAAACAAAAGCTTCCATTAGCAATCCAGAAATAAATATACCTACCGTGTTACTTTGGGTAACATACTGTCTAACTCTGGGTAACAGACCAATATGTGGAAAAAGTAAAACTGAAACCTGACTTCTAAATCTTTAGGAGAACTGATTGTAAATATCATCAGTGTTGCCTCATGCCAAGTTATTCTAGAGAATGACTAGATAATTATGGGAATAGCTAACACTTTCCACACTTGTCATATAAACTGTTTCATTTATTTAGATTATTTCTCCAATTCTTCTTTTCCTTTTGCCTTCATAGACATAACTTTGGATACAAAAATGTGTTCCTTCGTTTAATTATGGCAAGTAAATACTGAGCTGCTCCTTTTTCTCATAGACATAATATTTTGTCTGTTTATAAAGCTCCCCAAATAAAATGTTTACTTTCCCCCCCCAAACCATTGATATATGTATTTGTCCATTCACATTAATAGAGGCAGCTAGATATGGTAAAAATGTCAAGACATGAAGCCCATTTAGCTAATCCTAGTTTAGTTGTGAGTTATTTAATCTCTTGAGCCTATTTTTCCTTAACAATGATGTTGGACTATTTATGCCTATCTTGCAAGATTGTTAATGAAGATTGAGTTATAAAATTTACATAAGATCCCTAGCTTTGTTGTAGGAATGAAACAGTTACTCTATAAATGGCAATGATTATTATTCATTCATTCCCCAAATATTTATTAAGACTCTACTACATTCCAAGCACAGTAGTTGGTGCTAGGGATACAAAGATGAATAACATATGTTCTTCCTCTCAAGAGATCTCATAAGCTATTGGGGTTGGGGGGGATAGACAATTAAATGGTACTCATAGCTAGTTAGTGCCATAATGCAGACAATTTGAACTAAGTAATGGGAAGAAGTGATTCATGAAAACTGTTTATTTGAATACTCATTTGGAATATCATTTGAATACAGCACAGCAGTTTAAGTACTTGGGCTCTGAAGTGAAGCACAACTGGTTTGAAAGCCTGGTGTTAAACTAGCTGTGTGATTTTGTACAGGTTACCTTAATCTATCCACACAAGATAACCTCTACCTTTGTATCAGCCAAGGTTCGGACAGAAAAACAGAGCTCATGACAGGTAGTTCAGTAAAGGAATTTAATATGGAAAAGTGTCATAAAGGTATTAGAAGAGTTAAAAAGCCATATACCAGTAGGAAGTCATTCCCATGCCTAACGCTGTTATCAAAAAGGGAAAAAGGCTGTGCTGCAGGAGCT